CAAACAAGCCCATGCAGGGGATTGGTATATGATTCTGGTTGCCATTCATTCCATTTTAGGTTTAGGGGTTATAGATTGTATTATTGTTGTTGTTTCTTTAGTAGAAATTTTGTTATCTGAGTTGAGCTGTAAGAGGCAGACATCAAAACCACACCCTTTCATGTTCAAGCATATGTGGTTAGAAGAGGAAGGCTTTCTTCAAATTATTGGAGTTGATTATGTTCCATGGACTCTTGAAGAGTCTGCTAGCTATGTCTTGGATAGGAAAGGGGCTGAAGGAGAAGATTAAAGTGTGGAATAGGGAGCCCTACAAAGGTGTTGAAACTGAGGGTGTACGAATACAATCGGATGGTTGGATAGAAAGGAAGAGGGAGGAAACTTAACCATGGATAAAAGAAGAGAGAGGGAGGCCACAAAGTAGAGATACGACAGATTAGCCTATCAGGATGAGACCAAATGGAGGAAGAGATCAAGACTAGAATACAGCTTATTTCCACAAAATAGCCAATGTTAGAAGAGAAAATACCATAGTGAAGTTGGAAGTGAATGGCCAACTGCTCCAGAATGAAAACATAATTCAAGAGGCTATATTGGGCTATTATGAAGACCTATACAAGGAGAGATGGCAGCACAGACCAAAGCTGGATGGCTTGCAGTTTGACGGAATGAAAGATGATCAGGTAGAGGATCTTGAGAGGGAATTCACTGAGGAGATCTATGAGGATATATTGGAAATGGAGGGGGATAAGACTCAGGCCCTGGTCAATTTACTATGAAGTTTTGCTAAACTTTCTGGACAAAACTAAAGTAAGATGTGGTGAATGAGGAGTTCCATGGGAGAGCATGGCTGGCCAAACATCTTAATTCTACCTTTCCATATCTTATCCCAAAGTTGGGGTGCTGTGGTGCACCTCAAACACACAATTGAGAACCTCTAGTTCATGTAAAAAATTAGAATGCTATAGAAGTTAAAAGCCTACAAAAATGACATAAAAAGTCCCAATGTTAATCCTATTAGGATGAGAAAGCAAAGTTTTAGCTCAAGACATTAGAGGTCATTGTCACATAATGCACATAGAAGTGAACACACAATTCCCAAGCTCAAATCCCAAGTTTGTATGGGTGTGTGAAACCCCTAGAAGCCTTTTGGGAAACTTATTTGGTCCAAATGTCCATCCAAGATCACTTTCTTCATGTGGACATCATTTCTTAACATAGTGCACAATGCACTGTCTTCAATCTGAGGAGAATATTTACCAGGAATTTGTGCTCCCTTTGAAATAATTTAAATAAGGTATCACATCCTCCTCTTCATTGTGATTTCTTCCCAGAGACATGGCAGCATTTCTTGAAACTGTATGGCCAGGTATAGGTTATTCCTCAGGACAAACATCTCTGAATTGAGCATGGCCTTGAAGAGGAAGAGTCTTCTTGAACTTGGTCTTATGTGATAATTGCTGTTGTCTATAGAAGGAAAAGAACAAGAAGGCTAAAAGTTGATTGGTAGAACAGATCATTGGAAAAGTTGCGAGGCACATCTATGAATGAATACCATGCTTAAAGGAATTTATGAGGATTAAATCCACACATTTTGAAAGAGATCAGGAGATGTTGTATACCAATTCGTTTATTGCTTATCTCCTCATCTGTCTTTTTTGTACCATCAGTCTCAATTTTTTACCACTGTTTCCAACCCGCCATTGGCCTGGTCAATCAAACCAGTGACCTGGACAGAATCCCAGTTTGGGTCATCATCTAACCCACACTATTTACAAAAATTGTTGACTTGGTCAATGACCCATTGACACAGACAGTTGAGCCTCACCTGCCTGACCCATTCAACAGGTTACCAATTTTTTGGTTTTTTTCTGAAATTTTTATAATAATGACATCATGGATTGACCTGTTGACCAAGACAGTTGACTGCTGACCCATTGCCCTAGAGAAAAAATCTGTTCAACCTCCAAACTGTTTTAAAACACTGCTTTTGACCATACTAAACAGGGTATACAGTCTTATCTGCACACAGTTTTGATATGATAATGCAATCATTTGTTACTCCTCAAATAAAAATTGCAAGTTGGCTTTTGCTTGAATCCACCATTCAAAGTTTCCATTTAATCTTTTTTCTTCAAAAAGGCTTATCCATTAGTCATTGTCAACACCACAAAAGGCAAATGGTTTTTGGTAGATGGCATAGTTATAAGTTGATAAAACTCATATTAGATGTTCGTATATGTTCAGATCAGAAGAAAGAGAAGGAAAAGAGAGAGAGAAGGAGAAAGAGAAGAAAAAGGAGAAAAGTCACAGCCGAACTAGAGAGAAAAATCTCAAAACCTCTAGTTGGCCCTTCTTTTATTTATACTCTACTAAGATATACAAGGATTACTATTGTGCCCTCACTTAAGTGAGGGCCACATCAGCAGAGCAATACATATATAACTAAACATAAAAGGATTGTACTACCCTTGTACAGCCAATTCTAACACTCCACCTCAAGCTGGTGAGTATATGTCATATAGTCCCAGCTTGTTACATATGTAATCCACTCTACCCCGATTCAACCCTTTGGTAAACAAATCTGCCCATTGATTTCCTATGTTCACATATGTTGTACTTATCACTCCACTAAGCACCTTCTCACGTACAAAGTGGCAATCCACTTCTATGTGCTTCGTCCTTTCGTGAAACACTGGATTAGAGGAGATATGAACTGCAGCTTGGTTATCACAGTATAGCTTCATAGGAGTGTCAATCGAGTATCCCATCTCCTCTAGTAGATGCTTCAACCACACCAGTTCGCATGTTGTGTGAGCCATAGCCCTATATTCAGCCTCTGCACTACTTCTTGCTACCACTATCTGCTTCTTACTCTTCCATGTCACTAAATTCCACCAAGAAAAGTGCAATACCCTGTAGTGGACCTTCTGTCAGATATGGATCCGACCCAATCAGCGTTCGTGTATCCCTCTATCTCAAGACTTCCTCCACTCTTATACAATAAACCACGACCTGGAGCACCCTTCAAATACCTCGCAATCCTTAGGACTGCCTCACAGTATGGGATTCTCGGATTTTGCATAAATTGACTCACTACACTAACCGCAAATTAGATATCAGGTCGAGTGATGGTTAGGTAATTAAGCTTACCCACCAGCTTTCTGTACCTTCCCGGATCCTCAAACTCCTCACCTGTATCACTACCCAATCTAGCATTCAGTTCTATAGGTGTTTCAACTGGTCTGGCACCCAACAATCCTATTTCCTCTAGCAAATCAAGAACATATTTCCTCTGGTACAGATTAATACCATTCTTGGACCTTGCAACCTCTATACCTATGAAGTATCTTAATTTGCCAAGATCCTTTGTCTGGAAGTAATCATGCAAGTAAGTCTTCAACCTGTCAATTCCTGGTCTATCACTACCTGTGATAACAATGTCATCTACATATACCACCAAGAGAATCTTCCCAGCATTTGATTCATAGCTGAATACAGAATGATCAACCTGACACTGTTTCATTCCAAACTTCTTCACCACTTCACTAAATCTCCCAAGCCATGCACGGGCAGATTGTTTAAGTTCATAAATAGCCTTCTTAAGTCTACAGATCTTCTCACCCTCCCCCTAAGCAACAAACCCTGGTGGTTGCTCCATGTACACCTCCTCAAGAAGATCACCATGTAAAAAGGCATTCTTGATGTCAAGTTGAAACAAGGGCCAATCAAACATAGCAGTAAGAGAAATTAGAACACGAACTGACCCAATTTTGGCAATCGGAGAGAAGGTGTCTGTGTAATCAATACCATACTACTGTGAATAACCTTTGGCAACTAACCGAGCTTTCAACCGTTCAACACTTCCATCAAGTAAGTATTTAACCGTGTACACCCACTTACAACCGACCACATGCTTACTAGGAGGAAGAGTAGTGAGGTCCCACATATGAGTACGAGTCAGGGTCAAGAGTTCTTCTTCCATTGCTTGGCGCCACCCTAGAGAACAGAGGGCTTCCTAGACATCCTTGGGAACAGAGACAAAGGATAACATAGAAACAAATTGTCGATGGGAAGCCGAAATGTGATACAAAAGCAAAATTGGAAATGGGATGGAGAGTGCAACTGCGTTTACCTTTCAGCAAAGCAATAGGAAGATCAAGGTCAGAACTTGGAGTTGGGGCTGGGGTGGGATCAACTGTCGGATCTGTCGACGGTGACGAAGCTAGGGGAGGAGCCGATGCCTGACGATGTGTATACACTTGCCGAATAGGTGGTCCTCTCTCAGGTAGCTGCACTGGAGGCAAAGGCTGGGTCACGACCAGAACAAGAGGAACGGGATCCTCAACAGAAACTAGAAGAAGGGGTGATGGCAACAGAGGAGAAGAAGTATCCAACCTGGAGAAGAAAGGAACAGACTCAAAAAATGTAACATCAGAACACACAAAAGAACGCCGAGAACGAGGGTTATAACACTTATACCCTTTTTGAGTCCTAGAATAGCCAAGAAAGACACACTTAGTGGATCTAGCATCTAACTTGTCCATTCCAGGCTCAAGATTATGAACGAACCACACGCATCCAAAAACTCTATGAGTAAGGGGAAAAGGAGACAACGTGGGAAACAGAACAGAGAAAGGGGACTGACCTTCAAGGATAGGCATGGGCATGCGGTTAATAAGAAAGCAAGATGTGAGTACAACATCACTCCAAAAGGGTTTGGGGACATTCATCTGATGTAAGAGGGACCGAGTAGTTTTCAAAAGGTGACGGTTTTTTCTTTCAGTCACCCCATTTTGTTGAGGGGTGTAGGTACATGAGGTTTGATGGATAATGCCATGTTGTTCCAAATATTCTTGAAAGTGTGTGGAAAAATACTTGCGGCCATTATCAGAACGAAGAATTTTAATATTTACACCAAATTGATTGCGAATTTCAGCATAAAATTTCTAGAAGATAGAAAACAATTCACTCTTTTCTTTCATAAGGTAAAGCCATGTCATCCTTGAATAATCATCAACAAAAATTACAAAATACGTGTAACCATTATAAGACACTACTCTGTTTGAACCCCAAATGTTCGAATGGACTAAAGAAAAAGGACTCGATGTACGACTATCAATTCTAGGACTAAAGGAGACACGATGATGTTTCCCAAACTGACACGACACACAATTTAAATTAGAAAGACGACGCAACGACGGAACAAGTAACTGAAGAGCTCTAAGAGACGGATAACCAAGTTTGCAGTGCCACTGATGAGGGGAGAAAGATGACTGAATAGTTGTTGTCGAACCACCTCCATCAAGATAATACAGTCCACCAGCTTCATGCTCTCCACCAATCTTCATCCCCGTCTTGAGATCCTGAAACACACAAGAGGAAGGGTAAAAAGTTATTGAGCAATTAAGAGACTGAGTCAATTTACTAATAGACATCAGGTTAAAAGGAAACTTGGGAACATATAAAACTGAGGAGAGGGATAGCGAGTCAATATCAACATTACCAACACCACATATGGCTGATGTAGAGCCATTGGCAAGATTAACAGATTGAGAAGTGGTGGACGGAGAAATGGATGAAAACACACTTGGAGTTCCAGTCATATGATCGGAAGCTCTAGAATCTATAATCCAACGAGAAGATGTGGATGCCAGACAAGTCATACGTACCTGTGTGTGCAAGGGTAGCTGTGTTCTGTTGAGATGTACCTTGAATGAACCGCTCATACTCATCTTGTGAAACACTCACCATCTCCTTTTTGGAAGTATCTGTAGATGTAGTGGGGATCTGGTTAGTGACGTGAGATTCTTTTCTTGAGCTACCACCATTTACAGCTGCATGATTCGCCCAGGTTGAAGGTGGGCTATGGAGATTGTAGCAAAAGTTGATAGTATGTCCCTCCATACCACAATGAGTACACCTTCTCTAAGTATTACCACGTCCCCTACCACGGGCTCCCCCTGAATCTCGTCCTCCAACATGACCACCACCACGATTATACATTCCACACCACCACGACCATACATGGGTCCACCACCACGACCACGACCATGCTGACCTCCTCTACCACCACGACCTCCCCCTCTCATAACTGCAAATGCAGACCTATCTGACATAGTGGAAGTCTCTATGGGTCCAACTGAAATCCTCCAAAGACGAGAAAACACTTCCTCAAGAGAGGGAAGAGCARATCCACCTAATATCTGTGTCCTTACGGGTTCATACTCAGATTTCATCCCTACTAAAAATCTGGTCACATCCAACTGATCTCTTTGTTGTTGTTGAATTTTGACATCAGGTGTAAGAGAATGACAAACATTCAACTCATTTCATAAATTTCTCATACTGGCATATAGTCCTCAAGACTATAATTCCCTTGTTGCAGATTGAAGTACTCTTGGTACAGTTGGTAAACCCTAGTAGTGTTAACTTGTCCAAAATATAGTTTCCTTGCATGATCCCAGACTTCCTTAGTTGTATCTAAAAACATGAAGTTCACACTAATTTTGGACTCCATTCAGTTCCATAGCCAAGTCATAATTTGAGCATCCTCCTGCTCCCATTCATCATATCCCAGAGAACCAATTGAGGGTTTATCTTCCCTCACATGTTTCACTTTTGTTTTGGCTTTCAGGAAAACTTCAACAGACTTAGCCCAAGGGACATAATTCTCACCATTCAATTTTATAGAGGTCATCTGCACATTCAGATAATCAGAAGGCACCATCACACATGATTTGTATTCACTGTTGTCTCCCATGACTGCACAAAAAAATAGTGGGAGTTTGTACCACTAAATTGTTACTCTACTACCCTAATAAATCACCACACTCCACACGAATGACTAAACACCACTAGGGTTCCTAGTACCAGGTTTCAGCAGCAACACTCACAACTATTCACCACTGTTTCAGCAATAATATTCACAATTGTTCACCACTTTTAGCAACAACACTACTGTTGTCGTTTACTGTCAGCACTAGAAACCCTCACAACACACCTCACGAAAAATATTTTCAGTTCTACAACGTATAAAAGAAACTTGCTACATACCACAATTTAGTTCGAAGATCATGTACCTGTCAAGTAGAGGGTACCAAGTCTACATTGTCAGTTTGTCACCATCACAAAACCAGCCCTCTTCGAATTGTGAGTAGAGGGTTTTCTACCAGCCACACAAAACCACAACGACTGCACTCATTGGAGGCATGGAAACCCCCAAAAGGAGAAAACGACCAATCCTTTTCTTCCTTTCTGGAAGACTCTCTAAAACTCATATTAGATGTTTGTATATGTTCAGATCAGAAGAAAGAGAAGGAAAAGAGAGAGAGAGAAGGAAAAGAGAGAGAGAAGGAGAAAGAGAAGAAAAAGAAGGAGAAAAGTCACAACCGAACTAGAGAGAAAAWTYTCAAAACCTCTAGTYGGCCCTTCTTTTATTTATACTCTTCTAAGATATACAAGGATTACCATTGTGCCCTCACTTAAGTGAGGGCCACATCAGCAGAGAGATACATATATAACTAAGCATAAAAGAACTGTACTACCCTTGTACAGCCGACTCTAACATAAGTCAATAATCTTTTAACCAAAGCACCCAAGAACTAGGAAATCCAGCAGGAAAAAAGAAAGAGAAGAAAAGAAAAGAATGAAAGCTGAATATTCATGTTTAAAAATACGTAGCATAAAAAGATGACATTTAGCAAATTACTTTGAATCTATCTATCTATCTATCTACATGTGTGTATGTGTGTCTGTGTCTGTGGTGTGGTGTGTTTGTGTGTATTCATTTCCTTTTTACTATCATGTGATGTATTTGACTTCTCTCCACTTGATCCATTCACCAAGTAAAGTATCATTCAAAATGCTAAAACAAACATAGGCTATATATCCTATAGTAAGAAGAATTCAATAATTATAACTATTGATAAATATCAATAAAACAGTGGACTCATCAGAGATGGACAATCAAAAGTAAAAAGTGGATATACATGTGCCAAACCATAGAAATGATAATATCAATGAAGTCAATGCTGGATGCCCTGTTGAAAGTTGTAATAATATTAGTATAGAGCACACAATTGCATGTTTAAGGATGGTAAATTTTGAGAAGATGTCAAACTTAAAGGTAAATTTTGAGAAAGGTTGCATAGTTGGTGTAAATATGGGGGAGAGGGAAGTGGCAGAGTGTGTGGATATCTGGAGTTGTGCGGTTTCTAGTTAGCCTCTGAAATATTCAGGTCTTCCTTTAGGTGATACACCTGGGAAAGAGAGCTTTTCAAACCTGGTGTTGGAGAGTTTTGAAAAGAGACTTGCATCTTAGAAACGAAATTATCTATCCATGGGAGGAAGGATCACTTTAATTAAATCCACTCTAGCTAATCTACCTGTGTATTTCTTGTCGGTTTTTAAAATCCCAAGTGGGATAGCTAGGAAGTTAGAGAACCTAATGAGGAACTTTCTTTGGGAACCGGGGAGGAAAAAAGGATCATAGAGTTAAATGGGAGGTGGTATGTAAAAGCAAAAGGTTAGGAGGTTTGGGAATTGGGAATGTGCAGATAAGGAATTCAGCTTTGTTAGGTAAGTGGCTATGGAGACTTCCTGAGGAGAAAGAAAAGCTATGGGACAAGGTAGTGGTGAGGGTGAGCATACATGGGCTAGCGACAAATGGTTGGGACACTGGAATTAGAGCAAGGACTACAAGAGAATCTCCATGGAAATCCATCCAAGCTATTAATCCTTTGTTCTTGCCTTGGATCAAGTATGATGTATATTCCGGAAACTCTATTTAAATTTTGGGAATAAGTATGGGTAGGGGACACCTCATTGAGGGATCAATTTCCTTTGTTGTTTGCATTTAGGGGTGGCCACGAGCCGAGCTTCTCACAAGCTATTCGAGCTCGGCTTGTGAAAAGCTCAACTTGGCTCGATTTAAACCAAGCTTTGAGCCGAGCTCGAGCCTGATACATAGGCTCATTTTCTAATCGAGTTGAGCTCGAGCCCAATGAAGCTTGGCTCGTGAGGCTCGCGAGCCTAGTATAATAAATAAATAATTTACATACATATAAATATATAAATATATATATATAAATAAATAATTTTTATTATATACAATAATATTTTTATTTTTATGTATAATAGTAAATAATTTTTATAAATCTTACTTTTTTGTATATAAAACAAAAACAACTTTTATATGTATATTTTTTATTTTTATATATATAATAATAAATAACTTTTATAATTCTTATTTTGTTGTATGTAAAATAAAAAAAAAAAACATTTTATATGTATAATTTTTAATTTTTAGAAAAAACTTGGCTTGTAGTCAAGCTCAAACTTGCGACCTTTAAACCGAACCGAGCTCAAGCTCGAGCCTAAGACTATTTCACCAAGTCGAGCTCAAATAGCCAAGTATACGGCTCGGCTCTAATCCACCCCTATTTGCATTATCTTCGTACAAAAATGAGCATATCTCTACCTTGTTGGTTCCCTCTAATTCTCGGGTGGGGTTTAATTGGGATCTGGGGTTAAGGAGGGCTATTAGGGATTCCAAATTAAATAATACCTTGTCTTTGATGGGCATCCTTGGTGGCGTGTATTGGACCCTTCTCAACCTGATAAAAGAATTTGGACTCCTACTCCTCATTGGTTGTTTACTTGCTCTTCCTTTTTCAATTCCCTAACCCTTACAGTAGCTAGTGGGGGTGTCCACCCTTCCCTGTTGAAGAGGTGTGGAGTATACCTATCCCGCCTAAGATTGGAAGTTTTTGTTGGGAAGCATGCCTAGAAAGAATCAACACTTGTGACTTATTTCAAAAGAAAAGACCAAAGAGTTGTTCGTCCCCTTACTGGTGCTATCTCTGTAAGGTCAACAGTGAGAATTGCTACCATTTATTAATCTCTTGTACTTTTGTTAAAGGTTTATGGGAATGGTTTTCGTTGTTGTTTGGATGCAAGTGGAACCCACCACCAGATGTGAAAAGGTTGTTTGAACCTTTGTTTTTCAGACTGTCAAAGAAAAGGGGAAGGATGTGGCGGTATGTAAGGGCTGTTGTCATTTGGACCATTTGGGAAGAAAGAAATTCTAGAATATTATCTAGGAAGGAGAAGAGCAAGGAAGCTATTCTAGAGGTAATTTGGTAAAACATTGGCTTAAATCTACAGAACTATTCAATAGAGTGTCATCAGATGACCTGTTAAGAAAGTGGAGAGAAATTGCTTTTTCAGCCCCAGGTCAAGAAGTAGTAGTTCCAGTCCCCCCCTAGTGGTTGTTACAAACTGAACTTTGATGGAAGCAGTTTTGGAAACCCAGGGCCATCGGGTATTGGGGGTGTTTTAAGAGATGAGAAAGGGACAATAATTGCCTTGTTCTTAGGTCCAATTGAACCTGGTGACTCTCTTAGAGCTGAGATCTTGGCGGCATTGGAAGGTGTTCAGAGAGCTAAGGAGTTAAACTTACAAAAGTTGATCATTGAAGGGGACTCCAACTCAAAGACCATGATGTAAGTATATAACCAGGTATAGAACATAAATGATTCTATTTTTAGGGGCTGGTACAATGGTCTAAGACTTGAAAACCAAGGCGAATGAAAAATAGGGAAACAATTATTTTTTCCTAGTAAAGGACCATAATTTATTCATATCAGAATGTCACTTTATTCATGTGATCAAGTTTTATACTGTAAAAACCTTCTATTAGTAAAACACTGTCATCATGTCATCCAATAGATAAAGTTATCACTTAGACATGGTTGTATTGAAGCTCAGGAACATACTTGGGTCTTCAGTATCATCAGTTCGAGCCACCATTACGGGAGGTAGTAAAACATCTGCAAGGTAAAAGGGCTTCACTCCATTAAAAGGTCGTAAAAGAACAATAAAAAGGTGATAGAAAAGAAAAAGAAAGGGAAGATTAAAATTTTGAAAAGCAGCAAGTGGAATAACAATGGAAAAGTCACAAAGAAAAGATGATACCATCTTCAGGCAGGGTATCTCTCATCCATTCTTCATCCACTATATCTATCAGCACACCCAGGCTTAGCTCCGCCATATTTCCTATGAATTTACAGTCAATTTCTTTTAGATATACACAAAAAAAAAAAGAAAAAGAAAAGGGAAATCAAATGTTGGCACAATTGACCATGAAACTCCACACACACACAAAAAGAAACTATATTACATGAAGAAAAAAAAAATTAATGGGCGCCTATGGTTCATCGAGTGCAATAAAAGATGAGGAAAGAGAACAAATCGTGGAAAGTAAACCCAATTTCCTGCAATCTCACGCCCAATGCTCTTCCCCGCTTTCTGATTTTCAGGATTCAAAATGCCCTTATCAATATCAGGTTTAGAACTGACGAAATACAAGTATGAAGTACATACTCAGAAAATTAAATCCCACCAAGAAAAACGAAATCAACTGCTAGATTAGGGTTTTTGAATGCTACGGACAGGAGAAACAATGAGGTAAGGTTAGACTCTCTGCAACAACTGAGTCTCCTTGTGAGGTCTTAACAATCATTATAACTGGATTTAGATTAAAAGTAAAAGTCTGATAATAAAAAGAATGGGAAAACTTGTAGAGATGAATTTGAACTTTGAAGCATAGCTACTAACTTACTAAGTACTAACCTCGGATTCACGAATTGAATTCCAATAATCAATGTGGAAATGAAGAGAGTGAAAGAGGATATATCGTCGTAGCAGTTGCAAGCTCTTTACTCGTTTCAGCCGAGCCGCCGTGCAGCTATTACACGGGAGAAGTTCCGATTTGCGGCTGAAGTTATGTGAGGTTGATGTGTGGAGCGCTCTATTAGAGAAAATCCGGATTCGGATATGCCGATCGCGAGACCGGATTCAGTCCTCACACCTTCTCATCACACTTACAGCCGTGCATTTAGAACATCTCCGTATTTATATTTTTGATTCATTAGGAGATGTTTCCGGATTTACCGCAAAGCAAAGTTAGGATTTACTCCTCACAAAACATACCTCACACCGATCTTACAGCACATCTCACATGAATCAAAACACAGTACGTGATGTTCTTGATGTATGGCTGTGACGTGTTGTGAGGTTGGTGTTCTCCACACCAATCTCCAAACATGTCTCAATTGCTCGGTTTGCTCCTTACGATTCATGGAAAGATGCTCTAAATACAGAATCGTGATGCAACATGAGGTTGGTCTAAGACACACTTTGTAAGGAGCAAATATGAATTCACACCTCTTGTGCTTGTATGTTGAATACAGATTGGCACCCCATAGGAACAACATGCACATCCCAACAAGCATTCGAAATAATGAGTGTCGGAAAATGACCTACTTGTGTTGATGTGAGTCTATCACCCATCGGTTGAAGAAATGAAGGTGATGGGACTGTGGAGAATTGTATAAAAAATCATTTTTTACTTATAGTGACTTTAAGACCCAACTCAATGGTCCAACTAGTCTAGATAAGACTCTAATAGGAGGAGGGAAGGAATTAGGCACCCTTCTCCCGAATCTAATAAGTGGGACCCACATGAGATTCCAAACAAGTACAATCACAATTTGGCAATTATATAACTAAACAAGTGCATACTAACAAGAGCAAACTTGTTGGAGTATCACTTTGGTTTTAGACTTTTAGTCTCAGACGATAGGAAAGTGGAAGATTGAAGAGTGAAGATGAAGCAAAGTGAGGGAGTGGAATGTCGAGTGTCAATGATTTTGGGTTTTGACCTAATGGTCTATGTAATGACTGATTTACCCCTAGAAGTCCATTTATTTTGTTTAACTAAACCTCTAAATACCACAACCGAAACCAAATAAAACTGCCTTTAAAAATTGAACCCGAACCATTTACTTGAAATAATCGAATTTCGGCATGGTTATTCAGTTTTAAACCGAACTATGCTCACCCCTAATAACCATTGTGATATAGGAGAAATTTTATTGGAATCCTTGTCACTCCACTAGAAATACCTTCATAAGTTATCAAATTGACGACAAAGGAGTTTTTTGTAGTAGCTGTGTTTGCATATGATAACTTCGTGCCTTCTAATGTGGATTTTATAAGAATAGTTCTTTAGGTCTGTGATGATAAAGAAAACCTTCTATCCATCTAACTTTTACGCACCATGCCTACTAAGGAGTACCATTTAGAGCATCTTGTTCTACACTGTATAAGGGTTTAGCCAAAATAGATATCATCGACACCCATGGAACACATTCTAAACAAGTAGAAATGTGATGTCTTACCCAAGGTTGACAATATCTCCCTTGAACCCAATGTGATTCCAGTGGTCCCAAACAAAATAACAAATATGGTTGCCTAGTATTTGGTATTGGGTGGTCTTGGTGTGTATGATTTTGCGGGTCTATCGGCATTAATTTGTTTCATTTTTTAGGAAAAATTCCCGATTAGTACCATGTACTTTGGGCCTAGTGCCATTTTGGCCCCCAAACATTAAAACACAACAGTTTAGTACCCAAACTTTCAAAGTGTGCCAATCTAGTACCTGTCATTAATCAATCCATTAACCAGCCGTTAAATGACGTTTGAAAAGACACAAATGCCCTTTGAGTGTCATCTAATTTTCTTTATCAACTATCCACATGTTGATAAAAATTGAACAGTCTCAAATCCTTGCCTCTTCTAGTCAAGAAAGTTGGGGTTACGTCTTAATGGGCTTATAGTGACCCCAACTTTATTGAATAGAAGAGGCAAGGATTTGGGACTGTTCATTTTTTGCTAATGCTTGGATGGTCGATAAAGAAAACTAGATGACACTTGAAGGGTATTTATGTATTTTCAAATGGCACTTAACAGCTGGTTAACGGGTTGGTTAATGGCAAATACTAGATTGACACATTTTGAAAGTTTGGGTACTAAATTGTCGCATTTTAAAGTTTAGGGACCAAAGTGGCACTAGACACAATGTACAAGGTACTAATATGGAATTTTCCCTTTTTTTTATCTGCTTCGGTTGAATTAACAACATGTATTCTCTAGTGAAAATTTTCATGTCCACAATAGGTACCTCAAATCGGAATCGACCTACTATTTGTTTGATTGGAATAAATATGACTTATTTTAATAATTAAAATAATAATAAAACAATAGTACAATAATAAAATATCAACAATTTAATAATAAGAGTAAAGATATTATTTATTAAATAATAACCATAATAATAATTAAGTACAAATAAAATATTAATATATTATAATTAAAGTAATAATAGAATACTAACATATTAATTATTAAATAATAATAAATTAATTTTAAAATAATAACCAAATTCAATAGAATATTAATAAATTAATAAGAATATAATGATAAAATGATAAATTAATAATGAAGTAAAAATAAAATAATAGTATATTAATAAAATATTTATAAATTAATGATAGATATATCTAAGATATTAATTATTAAATACTAACAACATAATAACAACAAAGTAATAATAAAAAGAAAAAATATAATTTATTAAATAATAATAGTGATATAATTATATATTCACAAAATATCAATAAAATAAAATATAGACCAATAAAAATTAGAAAATTTCAATTAACTCGATTCTTACTCCAAAATGAACCAAATAAAATATTAGAATACAATTCTGATTTCCAACCAACCAAACAGGGTAAGGAATATGCGATTCCGATGCCGTCCGGGATCGAAACGGAATCTATTTTTATTTTGGCAACCTGCCAGTCAGAGAATTGGAAAGAGAAGAAGCAAAGTTCATTGCTTTATACGTGGTTGAGTAGACGAGTTTTTCCCTTTTACGGCACACACAAGAGTTTTCTACTTGAAGCTTCCAACGGTTTCCCCGGTGGTAAAGCAAAGGTTTATTGGCAAAGCAGTTGGTAAATGACTCCAAGTGACTGTTGTACCCTCCAAGATTTTTGTCCTGTTTATAAAGATTCCGAGGCTGAAAGGTAGAAGCTTCCATTTCCGCCCGTTTATTCGTTGATCGTTGCATCTAAGCCACCCAACAGCCATGGTGAAGAGCTTTCTCTCTGTCGTCGTTCTTCTGTTTTTCTCTTTGTTTTGTTTCTCCGAAATCGATGGAAGTGAACAGAGAGAATTCGATTACTTCGTTTTAGCTCTTCAATGGCCTGGAACTTTCTGTCAGAGAACCCATCATTGCTGCAAGTCCAACGGTTGTTGCAGAAGGTAACTTTACTCTTTTTCACTTTTGGGTTATATGGATTTCTTGAGTTCTCTTCATTTACTTGAAATGGGTCGATAATGTTTTTTCTTCTTGTTTTGTGATTTTTTATTTTAGTTACTTTGTTCTTCGTTTTAGTATTATTCTTTTATTTGGATAGATTTATTTTTCTGTTTCGTTTATTGAATCAAATCAATGATTTTGAAGTTGATCGCATTGTCTTACCATCTCCATCATTTTATTATGAGTTGCATCTTTTTCTTCGCCCATTTATTTTTTCTTCTTAGTAATGAGGATGTTTGATGAATAGAGTGCTCATGTCGGGAATCGGGATAGTTAGTTGAGATACAACATTGGACTTGCTTTGAATCCATTGATTTCGTTTTGGTGCCAGATCATTAGAATCAGCTTTTTGAATTTGATTTTTTTTAGCTTATTAAGAGCTAAATATCCGTAGATCCTTTTGCCTTTGTTATATCTTCAGATTAGAAGAAGTTAAAGGAGAAAAAGAATATCATCTTTATTTTTAAGCCATTTTTCGCTACCTTTTTAATAACTTAAGTGAACATGCATATATAAAAAAGTCTATCTATATGCCATGATTTATATATCTATATGGTTACTAATATGATCAAACTATTGTCAATATCTTTTTTTGACATTAAAAAGCAATTTCATTGAAAACAAAAAGAGGATACACAAAGGTGAAGTGCGTGTTATCAATCTTGATGATAAACTTGGATGAGGTGGGCCTATGTGTTCCATGTCCAAGGGGCCATTAGATAATGGCTAAAGTTACTGAACTGAATGATTTATTGCTTTGTCTTCAATGTATAACATGATTAAATAATAAAATCTTTAATCACATAGTAATCAGGCCAACTTCAGCTTCAGACATTAAGGAGTTCATAACATCCTTAAAAAATTATTCACTAGAAGACAAAGCCATAAGTCATTCAGATCAGCCACTTCAGCTGTTATCAAATTGACGTAGTGGGAATGTAAGAAAGAAGAGCAGTCTTCTTTCAAAAGGAAAACAAAACCTTGAATCCACAACGAGAGAAATAAACTCAGAAATTTCATTGAATTCACTACTAATTTGAGCTTGTACAATTACTTATTTATAGACTCCTGAAATGGTAAAGTTTCCAAAAATAGTAAGATGTTTAGATCAACCCGAACTTCTCAAAAACATCATAATTTACTCAAAGAAGACTTCTTAAACTGATTCAGACTCAAAATATGGTAAAATAACAAAGATATCAAACTTACTATGAAGGAATTTTCTTAGAAAAATCCACTTCTGGAGGCAAAAATGATGGAATTTGAGTGCTAAAATGACAAATGAGTGCTTTGGTTATTTGCCACCACATGGTGATCATTGAGATCATGGTTTTGACATATATGTTGAAAACAATACCTGGATCAAAAAACTATGGCCTTTGAAGTTCTAGTGTCTCAATTGGCCTCTTTTCTTCTTTTTCTGATTATGGACTTCTAAAATCCTTTCAAAAACTTGCTCTGCATCACAAATGGACCCTAAGTTATGTTCTCTATGTGCTTTTGTCATAGTATGCTGTTTAAGCTGCAGCTACTTGAATCATTTGGTGAGACGCATTACCCTGGCCCATCGAGTTCACAGATTAGACATGTGGATCCACCGAATTTCTAGGATCCTTGTTTCCTTCTCTTTGTGGAGGGATGTTAGAAACCGCTTTTTCAGTGCCATTCTTAACAATTTGGGCGAAGGATTTTTCAAAATGCAGTCAATTCCTTGCTCTCCACATCTTGGACTTACCATAAATCCCCTATCTTTTGCAGGACTCAAAGCCTGTCTATCCTTTTTTGTGATACTACTGGATTTTCCTGATTTCACCACTCCTAGGCTACCACGTAGCTCTTGCTCTTCCACCCTCACATCTCCTTCCTTGAGAGCTTCCCTCCACTGGTTTGCTTCAATGGAGGAAGCTAACCAGACAGGCACAATTAGTCCGTTTAGTCTCACGTCCACCTTCCTTGGGATCTCTTTTAGTCTGACTCCATTTATTAAGATTGCTACCGACCGAAGATCGCCCCAGAAGATCCCATCTAACCGGTCTCCACAGAGAGCTGCTATGGCATCAGCTATCTCAAAATTCCAGAGGTGGAATGGCAACCCAATGATACATACTATCACTCCATCTAAGATAGAGTAATTTTGAGTTTGAGGTGGGGGTCCATTTGAAGAATGTGAAGGAATCGTCAGAGTCCTGAACATGAAAGGCTCTGAAAGCTAGTTTGTTGTCCAAGGGACCTAGCAGAGCCATGCAGCTGTCATAGGGTGTTAAACAAACGTTGACTTCAGGTTAAAATTTGTGATCACTAAGTCAGCTATTTTTCTTCAGTCGCTTGCCGGGTAGTTTGTTTCGATCACCCATTCTCCCATTCCAGAGCTCACAATCAGAGTGGTGTTGCTTGAGATTAATGTTGGAGTTGATAAGTGGACAGGGGTCTTTGCAACAGTTTTTGTTTGCAATGAGTCTTCTAAGTCTCCTAGGATTTCCTTCTTCTCTGCTTTTGTTCTCAGAGTTTTCTGTTTTAGAAAGAGCTCCTTCAGGGTTTCGGAAAATGTTTTCCAACCCTGGTTTTTTCTTCCTTCTGGAATGCAAACTAGCTGCTTCCCCCTGTTTGCAAAGTATTCAGAGAGAGCTATGGGGGTCTTTGCAACAGTTTTTGTTTGCAATGAGTCTTCTAAGTCTCCTAGGATTTCCTTCTTCTCTGCTTTTGTTCTCAGAGTTTTCTGTTTTAGAAAGAGCTCCTTCAGGGTTTCGGAAAATGTTTTCCAACCCTGGTTTTTTCTTCCTCCTGGAATGCAAACTAGCTGCTTCCCCCCGTTTGCAAAGTATTCAGAGAGAGCTATGAAGGGCCCTTTGGCGTTTTCCTTGCACTCAACCACATATTTCCTTCCTGTGCCTGTTGATAGCTCTTTCCAATCGGGTTGCTTTCCCTTTCTGCTTGCCTCCAAAACGAAGTCCTGCAGCCACTCTATCACCCCTAACCCAACCAGCAAAATGGTTGCCTTCTTAGCTTCAGAATCTTTAGGGTAATAAGCCTCCTGATCTTCAGTTCCTTGAACAAGAAGAGTTTTGCCTCCACCTTCAAAACCTTCTTCCAGCGAGATGCCTCCATGAACCCTTTCTCCATCACTTTTCCTCAGTCATGACTACCAAGTTTCCGAATATTGTTGCCTAGTTCTTGACAAATCTGCCCATCTGTGCAATTTTTTTTGAAGTAAATGCAGGTCAGATTGTGTAGGTCCCTCAATTGAGGAGATATGTTAATGACTTGGATGTAGAATCTCTCACAGTCATGCTTCAATTGCTAGATCAAGTAAAGCCTCAATCTCTGTTTAGAAACTTCAAAATGTTGATAACAAGACTTGAACCCAAGACCTCTTATTTATGTGTATTGTTTTGTTACCATTAGTCCATCTCTTTGTTTACATTTATTTATGCCTCTTTCATGTATTTATTGCTTTAATACACACATATTTTGAAGAAAATGTGAGTTGTATTGTCTTGTTACCATTAATCCATCTCTTTGTTTGCATTTATTTGTGCCTCTTTAATGTATTTATTGCTTTAATACACACATATTTTGAAGAAAATGTCAGTTAAGAGACATGAACCCTGGTCATTTATTCTACAAACTTAAAAACAAGTCATCTGTTCACCACATGCAAGTGTAATAATACTTGTGAAATATATTATATGTAGTGTTTATATGACCTGTAAAATATATATGTATATGCCACATCATCGTGGTTCAACCTCCGCTTTGACTGCAGTTGAACCTTTAACTGTGAATCTTTGATCAGGTGGCGTTTTCAATGGATGAGATTCTAAATAGATCCTGAGCACCCTCTATTCTTGGTTCTTAATTCTCAAGGAACTCAAGTCAGTCAGTTATAGTATTTTTTATTGACTATAGTAATGTTTGTTGTTATAGATCATATACTTTTGTTCAGTCTTAAAGTACAAATCTTATGTACATTGACTCAAGTCATGAAACACCGTACACCACTGGATTTGGGTTATATTGCTTGTTTCATAAGCATCCTTAAGTGATGATTTATGAGATGTCACTTGATATCTACATGGTTATTCTTTTCAGTTTTTTCTTTCGCTTATGTAATGCTAATTTGTTTCATAGTGTACTTTGTCCTATCCCCAATTTAGAGAGGAAATTCTAAAAAGCGAAAACTTACCCAGCTTTCTTTATATGATTTTCCAGCTCTAATGGTCCAACAGAGTTCACAATACGTAAGTATTAATGTTGTGAATGTCCTTTAGCTTAAATTGTTACTCTTAACACTTGACTCAATCATTTCCCCGATCACACTACTTCTTAACCATGATCATGGATGGTACATAGAATGTGTACAGTTGCAATGATCTTTTTTTTTTTTTTTTGATGAATGATCTTGTTCTCATTTGTTAAATCTCTTGTACAACAGATGGGCTATGGCCTGATTACAATGGTGGAACCTGGCCAGCTTGTTGCACTCAATCCAACTTTGATATAAAAAAGGTACTTTTCTTTTCATTTTTTCAAATTCTCTTTCTTTCTTTCTTTACCATATGTTTAAATATAGCTTTTTATTTTTAATTTTTTGGGTCACATTGACCTGGGTACAGATACGAGGGTAAGGGCAAAGGTTTAAATGTTGGAGAGTGGTACCACTAACAATAGGGGTTTATTAGGGTGTGGCTAAATGTTAAAGATTGGGGAATTAAGGAGTGATTCCTGGAATAGGGTTCAGGTGAGACATTCTTACCTATTGGATATGGCCTAAATCAAGCTATCAAAAAAGTATGGACCTAAGTCAATTGATTCAGGTTTGGATCCAGGAAAGATACTATATAGTCCTTGTTTCAAAGGTTTTCATCAGATTTTACTACTTAAAGAACTTTTGGGTTTGAGCATCTTGGACCATGGGCCTGGCTCTTGCTATAATGGATCCTCCATTAGTAAATCCTCTTTAAGATTGGGATTAAGGAGCTCTTGGCAGCAACTTTCATCAATTATATTTGCTTAACACCCCCTGCCCTCTCTAAAATGTTGTTTATTTGTATGGACAAGGGCTATACTCTACAGTTTGTGGTGGAATTGCAGAACTAGGGAGACTGTGAATCATGCTTTAAAATTGACATGTTTCAAGGGTCATATTTCTATTTGTATGGGTACTGACACAAGATATTATTAGAATGTATCTAAAACTATTCCCTAATGGTATAATTTCCACTATATTGTTTTTCAAAGTTCTACTTTGTTAACTTAGGATTTATAATTTATATATACATAGATATCAGCCAAATAATTTGTTTTAATATGGCAGCAACTTTCTTCAATTATATTTGCTTAACACCCCCTGCCCTCTCTAAAATGTTGTTTATTTGTATGGACAAGGGCTATACTCTACAGTTTGTAGTGGAATTGCAGAATTAGGGAGACTGTGAATCATGCTTTAAAATTGACATGTTTCCAGGGTCATATTTCTATTTGTATGGGTACTGACACAAGATATTATTACAATATATCTAAAACTATTCCCTAATGGTATAATTTCCATTATATTGTTTTCAAAAGTTCTACTTTAAAATTGACATGCTTTAAAATTGACATGTTTCCAGGGTCATATTTCTATTTGTATGGGTACTGACACAAGATATTATTAGAATGTATCTAAAACTATTCCCTAATGGTATAATTTCCATTATATTGTTTTCAAAAGTTCTACTTTGTTAACTTAGGATTTATAATTTATATATACATAGATATCAGCCAAATAATTTGTTTTAATATGGTTATTTTCTATTTAAACCATTCTTTTTGTGTGTTAATCATTATGGATGTTTCTCTCCTTTATATTTTGTTTTTCGAAAATATTTTTTAATTATATATAATTTAATTACATGTAATCATTGTTTTAATATTTTAAACACTTAGAAGAGATACCACTTTTTGTTAACACAGTTTGAACAAGAGGGAAAACCAGAACGAAAGGGTGTGTTCAATGCAATTCACATGCCCAAAGAAATTATCTTATATATGAAATCTGTACAAGGCTGAGAAAGGACAATTATGTCTCTCACTTACAAGAAAGAATAAAGAGAAAAATAATATTGTACATATGACACAACATTTTTTTTATCAGAAACTGTAACTTTCATTAGAGATAAATTAAACTGAAATACAGAAGTCAACCCTTATTAGAAAAGGTTGATCCAATAACCATCAAACATTACAGCACTGCCCAATAAAGTCTCTCCCTTACAGTCCCTTGTTTTGCTAGGGCGTCAGCAAAACCATTTGCTGATCTCCTTACCCACTTGAAACAAACACCGACCTCCCTTGTTATGCTAAGAATTTCCCTTATCATCTGTCTATATTGCCAAATTCCCAGCTGCCCTGATTGCATCCACCCAATTACCAACTTGGAGTCTCCCTCTATCTCAATCTTCTATAGCTCCAATTGTTTGGCCAGTTTTACACCTTGATGTAGTGCCAAGATTTCCGCTCTTAAGGAATCTCCAACTCCTACTGGACCCGAATACAAAGCCATTATCTTGCCTTCATTATCTCTGAAAACACCTCCTATACCGGATGGGCCTGGATTACCTATAGAGCTTCCATCAAAGTTCAGTTTCACCCTTTGTTGTGCCGGTGGGGACCAAACTTCCTGTATCATAGCTTTGGAAGAAGTAGTAGATGCCACAATACCCCAACTTCTATAAATGTCTTCAGCTAAGAAATCCTAAAGATCACTGGATTTCAACCAATGGATAATCTTAGTAGTTACTCCTTCCACAACCTCTTCCTTGGATCTACAACTACTTTTGAAGATCCTATTGTTTCTTTCCTCCCACACTGACCACAATACAACAACTCTAGTGGCTCTCCACATAATCCTTCCACAAACCGTTGGTTGCCTGCAAAAAGATGGATCAAAGAGGTTCACCACGCTTGAGGAGGGGGTCCAATTGCAGCCAAAGAGAGAAGAGAACCAAGACCAAATAAAGAACACAAAGAGACATGAGATTAGTAAATGTGAAATTGTCTCACCAGAACCCAAACAAAGACAACAAACATGGGGGGAGAGGCACATATTTGCCCTCTTTTTCTACAATAAATTCAAGGTGTTGATATTTTGGAGTGCCACTTCCTAACAAAAGGCCTGAATTTTTGGGGGTACAGGGCTACCCCACACCTCCTTTGAAGGAAAGTTCCCTACAAGGTTAGAGGTCTGAAGCAAAATGTTATA